AGAAATCCAGTGCTGTGTATGTTATGCTTCCACTTCCATCTGTAAATCGTTCTTTTTATGTTCTCGTTTATTTGCATCAAGACGGCGATGGATCGCGTACAGTATATAGTGTGGGACATTGCTCTGCATTGACCTCACATTGAAAACTTGATTGCCCGTCTTCGAGATACTTAGATCCTCAAGTTGGCTACAAAACCTCTGATACCTAAACCTCTCCCCAGACACATGTTTGCATGTTGCATGTCTCAGGATGTAAGGCTCCACAATTCCGAACACTCGCTGATAAAGTGCCTTCAGATAAAAATGCTCACGATTCTCGGAAGACACCAGTTCTTTGTTCTTTTGTCAACAGCCTCTCGCGGCATCTTGATATCATATCAAAGCCACCAATCGTCGCTCGTGATAGTCCCTCTAACGTTTTTCCTTTCAAAAGACGTCAGGCTTACATACTCTGACGATTCAATGCCAATGACTTTCAGCATTCCGAAGACTTCTCTGACACACGGCAATCCACGTTTCTCGCCCAGGTTGGTATATGGGTATAGTAGCCTTAAGCTCCGGCACGTCGTGCCGCCACACAGACTCAACTGACGTGCATGCGCCGCGCCATTTCCCGGCGATACGTCAGCATGCAAGCATCCTGCTTTCGTATACCTTGAAGGCAACGTCGCATTGTCTCCGAATTCATATTTTTTTTTTAAAAGTTCAGCCTGCCTTCCTCTCCGAGTTCATTTGGGTCGGACCATGATGAACAGTCCTATGTCCTTTTTTCGACGGATCAAAAGAGGGGAAAAGCTGTACATTTCACTTTGTGAAGACTGCCTTGCCGTCTTCCCATTCTGTGTTCACGAGACTCAAGCTCCACGAGAACCTCAAGATGTTAACCTGTGCCTGGCTTCTGTCCTGCAAATGCCGTCAGAGTGGCCATGGATTATCGATTATCGATTATCACTCTGAAGTCACCTAATCAACACCGTGCCCTATGCTCGTATCTATCTATAACAAGGCCTGTCGGATCTTGGGCTCAATTGCGTATTGATCATAATCATGAGAAAGAGAAAATTTTTCTTTCGGCTCCTGCGCCCACATATATTTTTGACAAGACGGCGTCCTTGCCCGTCGTCTGCACATTGATCGATGGGCTTTCGAATAAAATACATGCAGGGCAGGATCTGTCACGGCGTCTAGGAATGCGACTCCTCGAGACCTGAACTTTAACTTTTATACTTTATTCCCGAAAAAGCAAACCTGGAGGTAGTGAAGCGTTACGACGATTCCATCACTTGAAGCAATTTGAAGCGATATCGAGCATCGATACACTTTACTAAATTTGAGATGGGTTTCATGCCAGGAGCGTCATTGATCAGGATACCTTAAATCTATGGGATGTCCACTTTGCTTGGTTCAGAACGTATACATGACTTGGCCGTCGAGATCCGCCGTGATGTCTTGTCCCCATTTCCAACTTGGAGCCTTCTTAAGTCAAGCTCTGAAGCATGAACGTATTACGTTCAATTTTCCTTCAAAAGTAAGATGTCATTCAACCGCGCTGTAGATATCAAAACAATCTGGCATTCGAAGCTAATGAAGGGAGATTTGCCTTAGAGTCAATTCTTCAGGAGTCACCGCTGATTGCTTAGATGTGAGTTGTTGAAGTGACCATGGCAAGCTTTGACGGACTTCGAAAGGGGCGACCGCCTCATCGTGATTGAAGGTGCCTTGTTAGAATCGTTGCATGTAACGTTGCATGTAACTTACATGCCCATACCAAGTTCAGTCTTGGAAAGAGTACGCACCGCGCGAGCGGATGCTGTTGCAAATAAAACAGAAGTAACGCCGGCTATTTGAACTGACGCATTAGACGACTTCCAGGCTTTCTTTTCATTTGGAGGACCTCTCTCTCTATTGTATCTTGACCTTTCATCTTCAATTTTTTACTTTTCCAGACCCCACCAAGTGTCTCATGTGCTAGGCACTTTGTACCAGGCCTACATAGTAAATATCTGACTGAGGCGATAAGTAAGCTTATGTCATTGGTACATAATGGTGCTATGGTGCTAAACGATGCTTCAAGAAGTGCACCAACAGGAGTTAGAGTGCGTTACGAGTCTTTTTCTTCTACCGTGCATAGCTTACAGCCTTCCAGCACACGCGTCTGACGTGGATGCTCACCATCGCGACCACGCGTTGATGTCTCAAGGTCACATGTTATAACCCTATGAGGTCAGTTGACCAGGTCTTCAAACCCGTTCTTCAACCAGTCCTCCAACAGACTTTCCTATGATCTCGGCTCATACACTTGACACTATTCATAACCATGAGGCTTGAGTGGTTTATCTATATTTCATCGAACCTCAAACACCGACAATGGCGAGACTTGGAATGATGGCTTGAAATTGATGCTTTAACCTGAACACTCCGAAAGCTGCAGTACAATGCAATACCCGTCTCCTGGGATGTGTTTCCCCGCGATTTCTATGGTTTTATGGTATGTTCTGTGTTCTTGACTTGAGATAAGTCATTGACATGTCTCGAAGACCGACCGAATAACGGACACACGTCTACGAATTTCTCAACAGCTTTTCTACCCTTCAGCTCTTGCAGTCACGTGCCTCATCTCTCTGCTCTCTCTGGTCTATTTACAGGAAGATGTGGAAGATAAGAAAGTTCGCGACGCAGCTTATCTCTTGAAGACGTACCTGGAACGTAACACTGACAAGCCCGTCTCTGTTGGGCTCTTCGGCGACGTTGTCTATCTATAATTTGAATAGACTTCTATCTTGTTGTATTCGCCCTCATCATCAACAATCAGTTTAGAAGCAGAAGGATTGAACACCGCCGCCGGTAGCACACAAATATCACGAGAGATAACGCGGACCATCTTCCTTATCACTACCAGTCCCCTGTCCCCCTCCACTCGTTTCCATCCCCACCTACACCTGCAACTCCTAATAAATATACCGACCAGTCCGACCAGTGCTGTGTCAGTGATGTCGCATCTTGCAGCCCATGACCATGTACAGGAGCAGGATGAGGAGTACTTCTATCCTTCTCCGTCTCGTGCAAACCACTCCCTGACTACTACCTCCCACAATTCACCTACGTTAAGAATCCAGTTCACACATTTATTCCGCGTCACTACTTCCTCTACCTCTGTAATACAACCGGAGACGTCCAACGTCGCATCAGAAACGTCCTCGGGACCATCCGCCTCCTCCATATCCACCAGCACGGCAGAATTACGTCAGGAGAGAGTTCGGAGGGAACTCGCTCGGGAGGAGAGGGCGCGGCATTGTTTGAGGGAGAAGAAAAATATGGTGTCACCCACCAGCCGGAGCCCGTATCCTTCTATCATGCCACTGGAGAGCTCTCCTGGGGTGACGAGGTATGGGGGGAGAGGCATCTATTCGGTGTCGAGATCAAGGTCGAGTTATAGCTTGAGCGCGACGTATTCAGATCCAGGGGAGGAAGAAGGGAAAGACAAGCGAGGAAGACGCTCAACTGGCGTCAAAGCCCTTGCTGTGACGCGTTTCGGGTTCCGTTCTCGCTCGCGTGCGCCAACTCCTCGAACCCTCTCGACCCCTCCGCCCCTTCCTACATCAGCACCAGCACCAGCACCAACGCTCCTACCCCGCTCTTCGACGCCTTCACCACGCTGTGAAACCGAATCCGCCCCCATACCCCTATCAATACCCACACGAGACCGCGCCTGCAGCAAAGACCCTGAGCGAATAACTGTCATGCTCGGTGGACGCTCCGTCGACGTTCTGCTCCCGCCTTCGCCTATTGGCCCGCCGCCATTACCACCTTTCCCTGGCATAGCCAGGCACAGGGATACGAGTCGCGGTGGGAGTTCGAGGTCGAGGTCAAGGGTTCATGAAAGGACCGGGAGACGGGCTGTGTCGGAAGGGAGAGGAGGTATGAGGAATGCATGGGTGGCAAAAGAGAATGAAGAGGATGAGGAAGATGAGAAGGAATTGTATGCAAGAGCAATGGGCCAAGGGTTGGATGAGAGGGGGAGGGTGATCGTTGTCGAGGGAGGATCTTACGGTTGAAGTCATGATCCTGTCACAGATTTCAAGTGGTAAGTGGTTGCTACTTTGGTGCGGTGCGCTGTGTGCTCACACGGCGTCACGTTCAGACGGAACTGCAAGATAATTGTTGTGCAGACTCTCCCGAATTCTTCCCCTTGTATTCTTCGCTTCTGTGCCCGTTTGCAGTTGACCTTTGCATAGCAACCTAGCATGAATCCCCATGATTTATTTCTTATCTTGCGCAAATCGTGTCTCACCATCTATCACCAAGTTCGTCGCAATGTTTCTCTCTTATTCTCACCAAATATTACCCAAGAACGCGCACCCATTCTGGATACCTGAATACTATGGGAATCCCGCTACCGACACTATCACCACTATGCACCCGTCATTATCGACGCCAGTGTCCACTGCGGCGCATGCACACCACACCATCCTTCTCATGCATTTGTATATATCCTCACCCTCGCCGGTATCTTTTACTTTTATCAATTCCGTCATCTGTCTCTATATCTTAGATTGTTCGTCATCCATTCTCACTCTCGTCCACCTAAATCGAGCTATGTATTTTCCATTTGCTACATGTATGGCAACACCTCTGGTTCGTCAAATATTATCGCATGATCTTTGCTATCCCACTTCGTGTGGTGTGAGACATCTTCCCTTGAGCCTATTCTATGTGGCGGCGGTCCCGAAGGCGACAACGGGAAGGAAAATGTGTATCGTACTTCTCATCTAGTTTGTGTGGTCTGGCTCCATCCCATACATACCAAGTATGTACGTCAATGAACGAAGCATAAAGAACAAAAGGATTTGATCGACGATGTGAGGTTCAGAGGATGATAGTATAAATGTTAACTCAGGTGTCTGTATCGGGAAATTGGAAGGATATATGTATGTAGGTGTCAAGAGCGAAAGAAGGGCAAGATGCATCCTAGTCAAAAAGAAAGGCTTGAATCCGGTGTATGAGTCGACCCAGGCTCGAACTGAGGACCTTCTGTGAACACAACAAAGGAAGCAATACAGGTGTTAGACAGATGCGATAACCAACTACGCCATCGACCCATATACGTAACGTGATGGTGTGGCTCGTGGTGAAAAACGCGGAACAAAACCTCTTCCGCTCGTGCTGTTCACTTTGACATTAAGTTCGCCCAAATCGCCGTCCTGTCCTCATCATGTTAGATAGATACGATAACTACGTCATCGAACCATACATATACTCTCAGTCCCCACTTTAGAGGAGGGGCCAGGAAGCATTTCCGGAGCTGAAACGTTCACGAACTTACGAAGTAAGGACAATTGAAGAGACTTCTTGGTAGGTCATTGTAAGTCCTCGTTCGAGTAAACCTGATGAAGACCGGTTGCTATGAAGCTTACAGTTCCCGTTCCGGAAATGCGACGCCACACACAATTTTTTATCATGTGCTGGGATTTTCTCAAATCCACTTTCAAGCCAAGTTCCAGTCGAAGGTTCTGTATCATCCTGGTTCGGAGAAAGAAGAACTATCCTTGGGAGAACCATTCTCGGCTCAATAGGCATGCGGTTGAGAGCCATTCTGCTCAAACTGCTGGACTAGGAATTATAGACTTATGAGTATAATGTACTCAGTATAAGTAAAAGTCCGTGAACGAAATGAATCAACGTACCCTCAGGTGTAAGCACATTGCTTACATATCACACTGACGGATTGGATATCGGACACACCTCTTGTTATCTACGCGTAGATCGTCGGCTAGAATAGACTCCTGTTCTGTCCTGTCGTGATCGTCTCAGTTCACGGTAAAGAACTGAGGATTTCTAAATAAGGAAATAATATTTAAATACCAACGCAGTTCGGTGGCTGCGTTGGACCTGTATAGCCAATGGCGATCGACGTTTTGTGGCTGATATAAAAATGGGCATGTAAATATTTGGCGCTTTGGCCGTGGCGTCACCGGAGGTGGCGAGTTCGACTCTCGAGAAGTCGAGTATATTTTAATAGGAATGATTCACATCCCTCTGAACAAATTTATACCATGGCCTACTGCGACTCGACGACAACGTCCTTTCAAGATGCAGTCGAATATGATAGGTTTGATTTGATATTTATACAATGGATGAGTAGGGTATCTGTATCCGGTGTACATGATGAAACTAGATAGATACAACAAATGGCACGTCTGTACATCCTCCAACTAGTCAAAAAGCCTAGGAGTGTTCACCCTCATCAAAAGCTCGTTCAGTGATCGTATCACTGTCCCCGTACCCTCTTTGACCTTCTCTCGCTCTTCCTCGACGACTCTGGGCAAACACTTGGTCTCGAAACGGTCAGGATGCCACTTCCTGATCTGCTCCTTGATTCGATCTTTCGGTAGCTTGGCCTTCTCCTTCTCTGGAAGAAGAGGAGACTCCATGTAAGCGGCGACAGCGGCGATCGTTATATCATCGGGATATTTGGGTGAGTTGAACATAGGCCAAGGAATAGATTCCCAGCGAAGGTTGGCAGAGGTAGTCGACAGCAAGGCAGTCCACTGGCGCTCGTGGCGCTCTAAAGTAGAGGCAACGTTTTCCTTGGTCAACTTGTTACTATCTGCCCTCTGTCTCGACTCCTCGAAGCGCTGCTGTTCCTTGCGGAACCGCTCTTGTTGCTGCTGGAATTGTTCATCAAGCCTGCGCTTCCATTCGTTTTCATCGTGTGAAGATGCTGGTGGATGAGCTGAAGATGTTGACGTTGGAAAGGTCGAGTTCATCGAACCGGATCGTGGCTTTGCTGCTGAGGACGTTTTGGACGCGGAAGACCAACCAGAAGTCGGCCCGTTGGCAGTGGACGATGGAGGGTGCGAGCGGGGAGTTGGAGTATTCGCGGAGTATGCAAACGATGCGTAGGATGACCCTGTACTGTCTTGCCTTTTCCGTTCCTGAATCTCCTGTTCACGCCGCCGAAATTCCTCTTGCTGTTGGTCATATCGTAACTTCTCCTCCATCTTCTTCTGCTCTTCGAAAAACCTCTCTTCGTCGAACTGCCTCTGTAGTTTCTCGGCTTCCCGCCGCGATTCCTCCTGCTCTTTCAACCTTTCCGCCTCCTTCTGTTCTGCAATTTCCTTTTCACGGCGGTGAAGTTCCTCCTCACGCTTGCGAAGTTCCTCCTCTCGGTGAATCATTTCCTGCTCTTTCGCCCAAGTCTCCTCCCGCACCCTGCGAGCTTCCTCTCTTGCTGCAACCTCCTTCCGTTTCACTTCCTCCCTCTGCCTCTTCACTTGTTCCTCCTTTTTGCGTGTCTCTTCCTCTTTCTTTTTTGCCTCCTCCATTTCCCTTTTCGCCTCCTCCTCCTTCCTCTTCACCTCCTCCTCTTTCCTCCTTGCCTCCTCCTCCTTCCTCCTCGCCTCTTCCTCCTTCCTCCTCGCCTCCTCCTCCTTCCCCCTCGCCTCCTCCTCCTTCCTCTTTGCCTCCTCCATCTCCCTCCTCACCTCTTCTTCCTTCCTTTTGGCCTCCTCCTCTTTCCTTCTCAATTCTTCCGCTTTCTTCATAGTCATTATTTGTTGACGACGAATTTCTTCCTCCTTTTCCTTAATTTTCCTCGCCTCCTGTTGTTCTCTTTCTCGCGTCTCTTCCACCAATCTTGCCGCTTCCGCAGCCTGCCTCTTCGCCTCCTTCCTCAGCTTGGCTTCTCGACGTTCCTCATCCAGCATCGATCTATGCCTCTCTTCCTCTACCTTCATACGGTCAATTTCTTCTTCCCTCAGCCATCGCCGCTCCTCTGCCCCCCATCGCCTATCTTCATCTGATCGTTGCATGTCATCACGTCTCTGTCGGACTGCTTCTCGATATCGTAGGGCCGTCTCCAGGTCGGTGTTCATGTCCTCAATGTATTCATCACTATCAACATCCCTCTCATAGGCCCGTTCCCTACCACCAAAGGAGTGGTTAGGTGCGTCGTGATAACTGCTCGGGTGCGATGCCATCGGAGAACGAACCGGGTGAGTGGATTCGCGACGAGGCGGCTCGGGATGCGGGCCATAATAGGGAGGCGACTGTGAGCATGGATGCCAAAGTTCATAATCGCGTCCACCTCTGCCGGCGTATTCGGACTCCTGTCCTTGGGAGTCGTCAACTTTATTGTACCTATCTTGACGTTCAGAGTCGCGGCGAGGCTCACGACGAGGCATATGCGAATCAGCGGTCCACGATTTCCAACCCTCGGCCTCTTCTTGTCCGTATGAAGGCCGGTGTTGTCGAGAAGTAATCGGTATGCTCGCTGAGGCAGCTCTTTCATATGTGCGTGAATATGAGCCGGGAGGAAGTGGTGGGCCATGGATAGAACGAGGTTCTGAAAACAAGATCAGAAGTATTCAAAATTTAACCGCAAGGAAAAGTTTACCATCAGAAAAATTATGTGTGTAAGAAGGCTCACGAATAAGAGAAGGGCGGGATTCAGACAGTCTGCGTGTTGAAGGGCTTTCTGATTGCTCCGCGTACTTGAATGTGTTGCTTCGAGGCTCAGCACCATATGTATACGATGAGGGTGGCTCTGTACGCGTGGAGGGGTACCTGCTGATAGGTGGCTCACGGCCTGATGATCGACTGGCAGAACCGGGAGGGGTTGGGTAGGATCGGTAAGAAGAACCTTGGTCATAATAATCCCGGTCCTCGTTCAAAGTTGACGATGGGCGCGAAGGAACTCGCCCCTGCAATGGAGGTTTGGAATAGGAGACGGACGGGCGCTCCTCAAACGAAGGTCTTGCCCTGACTGGGCGACTGGGTGTATAGGATTGAGCGTCACTGTATTCGTCATGAAAAGATGCCTCACGGCGCAGTGGTCGCGCGCTTGACGGAACACGAGGTGAGATCTCTTCGGAACGATGAGCTCTCAGACTAACGTATGGTTGATCACGATCGTAGACATCCCTTGGAACAGGTTTGATATCTTCCGGTCGATAAGAGGTTCTAGAACTGGTATACGCAGGCGCAAAGTCGTCACTACGGGGCTTATCACTCGCAGAGCTCTTGCGATGTTCCCTTCGCTTCTCCCTCTCCCGAGGCATAGATATTGTCGAAGAATGGTTATCACCAAGCTCTGCGAACCTCGCATGCTGTTTCGAGTACTCTGCCTCGCCGTCACTCCATTCGGGGATGGGTTCCTCAGCAATCGAGGGACGCAAGCCTGTTGAACCAGTCGACTTGATGCTAGTGACACTGTTACGCCGTCCAATCCCAGCAGACAGAGGCCTTGGGACGGTATCATCCTCCATGGAGGATGGCTTCCAGATCTGGTGTTGCGAAGGAAACGAAGAATTTGGAGGTGAGCGAGTAGTAGGTCGATCGGAGGCGGAAGAGGGGCCCGAAGGATGGTCGATCGATCTAATGAAGGAAGGATCCACTGCCCGTTCATGGAAAGATCCCTTTCTCGCTGTAATAGGACGTACAGGAGGTGGAGACAAGAGTTCGAGAGCGTCTGTGGCCACTCCGTCAGACAAGTCAGTTTCCTCACGGTCCGACATTTCAGATCCGCTTGAAGAGGAAGGAGAGGGACTGTACGCTTGAGGGCTCGAAGAAACTTCTGTACATTGCAATTAGATATGGTTGAGGGAGTTTCAAGAGTGGTTATACCATGGGTTGGATAAAGATGTCTCTTGTGTGCACGATCCTCTTGCAGTTCTTGGCCTCGTTTCTCTTGAGGTCTTTCCCAACGCTGTAGTTCTTCCCATTCTTCGTATTCCAGATGATCTTGCTGGTCATTCTCCTCCTCGTTCCTGCGCGACTCTTCATACTTCTCCAAATGCACTTTCTCCCACTGCGCTCGATCAAGGCGTGCTTCCACTTCCTCCTTCTCCTTCCTCCTTCTCCTGTCCTTGTCTTCCCTCTCCCTCTCCTCCCTCTCTCTTGAATCCTGTTCAACCCTCTCCTCACGCTCCTTTCTTTCCTTCGCCTCCTTCGCCTCCCTCTC